TCCTATTAATAAAATCGATTATTATGACCCTTGATGATATATTTGGAGTTAGGTTTTTGTAGAAAAAACATCAGATATATCATTAAGGGTCATAATAAGGGGCGCTCCCTAAGCATTAAAAAAGAAAAAAGGGTTTTTTTCGAAAAAACCTCACCGGAATATGAAAATTCAGATTACGAGATTATCAAAAAAAAAATCACGAGATGATGAAAATTGGCGAGAGAATTTTTCCCAATATTTGCCACTGTGGGGCGTGGCATAGTAAGGAAAATGGAAGATGATTTTCTTCAATATCTTGAATGAATTTTTGTTTTAAATCAAATTTTCTACAAAATAAGATAGCTCTTTATTACAAAAATAAGTTTGTTATTAACAAAAAAATAGCAAAAATTTGTTTTTCTTAACTGGTCATTACGGAGCTATTAACAATTATACGTCATACTTACTGGAAACTTTACAATGTTGGTAAAATTTTTTTAGATCTTGTATCTTTACGTAACTGGCGAGTATACAGACAGGGTGATTCAGAACTTATCCAAAAAAAAAATTCTGGATGTACAGGGGACTCTTACAAATACAATTTTGTAAAGAAAAAATCAAAAAGGTCAGTTCGAAATTGATTTAAAAATACACTTCTGCACGGCACTGGAAACTGGTCCACTGTAAAACCTGACCTTGCACAATGCGACCGGACAGAAACTTTCGCAAGGAAAGAAATATGTAAATAGAATTTTATCGCACCTATTTTATATCGGCAAATTCAAATGGTTTTGCTTTTATTAATTATTAATAAAATTAATTTGTGTTTTTAAATAATAAAATCATTTGACATACCCGATGCTGCAACAGCAATTGTTCAAAATTTTATACACTCACGTGTAAACACATTTGGGTCCGTCCTATTCACTTTCTACGAACTAACACAAATGATGTCTTTCTTCACCATAACACAAATACTTCACCATAATAAAATGTTGTCTTGCTTCACCATAAATTAAAACGATATCCATCAACTCTGAATTGCTATACACGCAAGCCATATTTGACACTAACTACTAAAAAACTGATTTAAATACCACATATAACAGGTAAAAACTACCGCAACGACGGATTTCAGTATTAGGAGTCACATGGCTCTCCATGCGTATTGCGAATAACTCTAGAGACTACAGTTGTCCAGCTATATAGTGGTTTAATGTGCTATAACTTCAATAATTTCTTTCTCAGAAACTATAACTATTTTACAAAATTTTTTTTGCAATATTGACTCCATTTCTCATGCCGCATCTATTCCCAAATTTTTTTGGATAAGTTGTGAATCACCCTGTATACTAATAAGATTCCAAGAATCAATTGCATTTTCAAAATTCGATTTCATTAATTTTTGCGCATTTGAGAAGGTATTATACGTGGTCATAATTTTGTACGCAATACTACTTTTAAGTCAATTACTATGATACGTAAACAAATATTTTTTTAATTAAAGGTACACAGCAACGGGAATATTTTTTTTTTTTTATTTAAGATTAGCCACCTCTTTAGGAGTACCTTCCGAGAACTACCTACGTAATTACTAACTAATTCTAAGTATAATAGCTGCTAACATTCAATAGTTTAAATAATGGCATAACTTTATGCAAGTGCAAAATTTTACGAAAAATCAACAATTTATTATAATACAAAGAAATTCTATTAAAACATTGTAATAGATTACACTGTTTATTTAATATTAAATTATGTGTTATTCTATAGCACATTCGTAGCCGCTTGTGAAAAAATATTGGGGTTTATGGAAAATGACCACAATAGTGATGTCTTGAACCTCCTTCGGCTGGACTATAAGCATTACACAATCCGAATCCGTGGTTCATTTAACACCATCGCGTCAGGATTTTTCATAACGTCAGAAAATGGGCCCAAAAACCCAACAAATCATCTATCCATTGATCACTCAATTCTTACCTAACCTATAACCTCATAACCTCTTAATCCTATAACCCCTTAACCCCGTTAACTCGAAATCCCATAACCCCGACACCCATAACCCTGTAAGAAAGAGACTTTCATTGTGTGAGCCTACGTTTTGCCGAACCCAGGAACAACGACGAGGACATAGAAGGCTTCTTTTCCCTTTGAGGTGTTTTATTAGAGTGTGTCCCCCTTGCCTCACACGAATAGCAAAATAAAATAGCAAGAAGATAAATTAGTTAAATGTACAAGAATGGTTAACTCATAACTCAATGAAGAGACTACGTTATTTCATCTTCTTTAGACCTTCTATGATAACGCACTTGTTTACATTCAAAAGATCTACGAAGTAAATGCCGTTTATGATTTTTGACTGTATCTCTTTTCAAATTCGAGCAGTGGTCTGCTATCATAGTCTGACCCCATGTTCCTTGATAACGCTTCTCCATATCTTTCATGTCTTGATGACGCCTTTCTCCGTGTTCTTCTCTGTAATCACCAAGTTCCGATTCATGAGAGTTCGTGCATAAGCCTATTCTTGACTGGGTTTTGAGGTTATAAGGGTATGGGATTATTGAGGAATATGGGTGTAAGGCTCAAGAGCCACGTATGGCTCAAACATACTGTATTTCAGGGCTTAAACGCGCATAAGTCTCTTTCTTACCGGGTTATGGGTGTCGGGGTTACGGGATTTCGAGGTTACAAGGTTAAAGAGTTATGGAGTTATAGGATTAAGGGATTATGGGGTTATAGGGTTATAGGGTTATAGGAGTTGAGTGGTCAATGGATAGAAGGTTTATTGGGTTTTTGGGCCTATTTTTTGAGGTTATGAAAAATTCTGATGTGATGGGGTTAAGGAAACCCCGGATTCGGATTCAGCGACCCCGAAAACAGATGGTAGACATAGTCAGACCCCAGAAGTAATTCTTTCGATTTTTTTTTTGTGGACTGAAGTTATGTATATTTGTCAGAAGGCATTGTTTTTATTATAACAATATAGTGTACATCTTTACTAATTATAAATTTGTTTGAAATTCGTGAAATAAATTAAATTTTCTAAACAACATTTTGCAGTTATGAAGGTGGAAAGTATGCCTTGTCCTTCTTGTCACATCTAAATATAGAAATTTTAATGTTCATCCGTCGGTTTTCTACGACCTAGGTCTTTCCATATCATTTAATTCATCTGTTGAGACTGTTTACAGAAAAATAAACTTTCTCCTTTTGTACTTGTTTTATCCAATTTTATCCTGCTTGTGTTGTTGAAGATCACGCCTGAAAAAAATTATGAAATTTAATCGAGTTAACTGAATTACTAGAATAATAACTAAGATTATTTTTAATTTTAATGGCATGGCAAATGGGTTTTTGACATCTCTTCACATATTAATATAAAATGAAATTTTGGGGCAAAAAACTTGAATCGTGTTTTTTATTTTTCTGAGATCGGGAAGTAAAAAAAATGTATAAAAATACAACGAATTTGGCGAACAGTCGCGCCATCTTAGACTGTGGTTCAATTGTGTCATCTATAATAATAGATAGACAGCAGAGGAAAGTTACCATATATACTTAGAATTCTTAGGGACAATTATTGGTTAAAACATTAATTAGCTTTAACTAGTTTTGAAAAATGGCAACAAGAACAACTGTATTATTTTATGAAACAAATGGAGAAGAATATTATCAATAATAAAAAAAGCGCTATTTATTTTATGTTTGTGATAGGCAAGTAAATCAGTTGAATCAAAAATGAATTTTTAGTATTCCTGTTGGTGTTAGTGGAGAAATCTATATGTCTGGCATTACACCAAAATCATTTAAAGTCAGGCGTTTAATTTAGAGAAAGAAGTAATTTTACGTGCAGCTAATAAAAATCATTTTCTTATATTTATATCATTTGAATTTGGTATATATTGTTTTGTCATCTACTCGGATAGTTATTAACAATAGCTCACAATTAAAAAAATACTGGCTAATTCTTGCTTCGAGCGAAAAAAAACGAAAAATTAAGTTTTTTTATTACTTACATCATTTCTTTTGATTTTAATTTTTTACGCATCATAAACAAAGTGATGATTATAATTACAGCAGGGCCTCGATGATCCGAACACCGAAAATTTATACCCTGTTCGGATTCACGAAGCGTTCGGATTATAGTATGTAGACATTTTGAAAGGGATTTTTCGAAATAAAACAAAAATATTTTACATTATAATGTATTTATTTAAGTATGTACGTTAGATGTATGTTAGATAAAATGCTATTAATCACACTTTTTTAAAGAATTCTTAATATAGTGCTTTGACGAGTAGTATTTAGCGACATAGAAAATGCTTTATCCCTTAATTTACGTAACAGCATTTTTTCCGGAATAGAAATGTCGACTTCATCTGCCCATTCCAAACAAAAAACGCACTGCGTGGCACTGGCGAGACAGAAACTGTGAGAAACGGAGGTTGCGCAGGGGTAAGGGGGGTCGTTCGGATTATAGAGGCGTTCGGACTAGCTGGGGTACGGATTATCAAGGCCCTGCTGTAGTTACTTAGGAAACAAAGTCATGATACTCTTATACAGATATGACGAATCAGCAAGGAAGTAGGAATCTTGTCTGTGAGATTAGATGTACTTTAGACTTTTAGTATCGAAGAACATTACTTACATTACATGGGATTTAAAAAAAATGTTTTTGAATGTTTTTTTGAATTAGCTTAATACCTTAAAGTAAAAATACGAGAGCTAATAATAAATTATGTACCTATATAAGATGAAAAACCGTAATTATCTGAACGTAGGTACTTAACGGCTACCCTATATGTTGACTGGAACTTATTTTACTTGAAATGACTCAACGGATCACTTTCTTTATCTTCATCCTCCTCCTCCTCCTTAATCAAAGACAACCCCGCAAGAAATAACATTTACAGCTTCGAAATATCTGGGTTTTTGACCGATCGCTTAAAATTGTGTAATTATTTCCGCATTATAAATAGTGGTCTATTTCTGTGTGTGATTATTTTAAATCTGTTTAGAGAAACAAGAGCTTCAATGGAGAAGAGTTGCCGTATGTGTTCGGAGTCCCGCTAGACGGTCCCAAGTTTCACTTCGTCGATTCGTACACGGAACACGAACGTCTGTTCTCCGAGATAGTTATGACTTATTTCTGCAATTTCGCGTACACCGGGTAAGTTTTATTTCATTTAAAACTAGCATAAGTATAAACGGGTCATTTGTCACAAGAGGACACTGTTTGCGCGAGATTTATGTGATTGTGATTTTGGAGGCAATTAAAATAGATTAATAATGGTTATATTTATTGAATGCTGGATGTAATTTATGTTATTTGCTGGAATTATAATATACGCAAATGTTAATAACTGCTTCATTTCATTGAACTTTATGGTACCGTTATGTTTGACTTAATTAATATAATGTGTGTTGTAAACCACTACACGTTCCATCGCCATCAAAGTGGAGTGGAGTTCGTGTTTTATAAATGCACATACCCGAATTTAATCTGACTGCGAAAATATTGCGGTACATGCTGACACTGATTTTTATTTAAGTTTTTAGCATAAAATATAATTATCTTTATATTGTGTTAATTTTGCCTTGCAAAAAATTTTAACTTGATTGTGCGGGAAACCTATAAATACCTATCAAGTATAGTTGTTACGTTGTCAATTGGAACCTGTAAATCTTGCCATAAAACCTGCACAGGACCGTATGCAATTTCTTCCTATGCCTTGACCATGATGTGTCTCACAAATTATACTCGAATAGCAATTCGGCGAGTCCAGTATTGGTAAACTATAGTACGATCGTATTCGATGCAAAGTAATAAATCATTGCCTGTCAAGGGAATCAGTGCAACACATTTTATAGGGGGTTTTGGAAATTGANAATAGTGGTCTATTTCTGTGTGTGATTATTTTAAATCTGTTTAGAGAAACAAGAGCTTCAATGGAGAAGAGTTGCCGTATGTGTTCGGAGTCCCGCTAGACGGTCCCAAGTTTCACTTCGTCGATTCGTACACGGAACACGAACGTCTGTTCTCCGAGATAGTTATGACTTATTTCTGCAATTTCGCGTACACCGGGTAAGTTTTATTTCATTTAAAACTAGCATAAGTATAAACGGGTCATTTGTCACAAGAGGACACTGTTTGCGCGAGATTTATGTGATTGTGATTTTGGAGGCAATTAAAATAGATTAATAATGGTTATATTTATTGAATGCTGGATGTAATTTATGTTATTTGCTGGAATTATAATATACGCAAATGTTAATAACTGCTTCATTTCATTGAACTTTATGGTACCGTTATGTTTGACTTAATTAATATAATGTGTGTTGTAAACCACTACACGTTCCACCGCCATCAAAGTGGAGTGGAGTTCGTGTTTTATAACTGCACATACCCGAATTTAATCTGACTGCGAAAATATTGCGGTACATGCTGACACTGATTTTTATTTAAGTTTTTAGCATAAAATATAATTATCTTTATATTGTGTTAATTTTGCCTTGCAAAAAATTTTAACTTGATTGTGCGGGAAACCTATAAATACCTATCAAGTATAGTTGTTACGTTGTCAATTGGAACCTGTAAATCTTAAAGCACAGGACCGTATGCAATTTCTTCCTATGCCTTGACCATGATGTGTCTCACAAATTATACTCGAATAGCAATTCGGCGAGTCCAGTATTGGTAAACTAGTCCACCTGACGTAGAATTGACGGCGGCGCGCTAGTCATCAAAGCAAATCTGTATTGGCCCACTAGGTCGTAAATGATTTTTTGTATGGTACACGGGTTCACTTAGCTTTGCCGCTTTGCCAGTGCAGTGCAGAGCATTGCTTGGCGGGGTATGTTGTTGGTATAATACGTATTATTATTTATTAGTTGATATTATTGTTTGTTCATATCGTAACCAGTATAGGGTAACAGTTATTAAAATAAATGTTATATGTAATTATCTAGTAATTTAGCGTGGCTCTCTGGAGACTCTTTGAAGCGGAGGATAATGGAAATAACTTGGGAAAATCCCCAAATAGTGGAACCTGAGTTTGTCGAAAGTATCGAAACAAACTCAGAGTTTAAAAACAAAGATTTACATGTAAAAAGACAACGTATTATACTAAATATATATGAATGTTTGAAAATTGAAAATAGTGAACAATGTGATAAAAAAGTTAGGAAACGGATTAACGAATTAACTAAGATATCAAAAACGACAATTTATCCCGTAATTAAAGAAGAATTGATCACGGTACAAAGAGGAAACGGAAAATACAAAATTAAAGAAAATTGAGGATTTTAACAGATGTAACGCGGCGCACAATTTATAATGTGTATAAAGAAAATAAAGTTCCTACTTTAAACATCATTCGAGATAAATTAAACGATTATCCTGATTATAATTATAAATCTTTAGGTATGTTACGACATGCTTTATTACAATGCGATTTTAAACATAAAAAACTTGACAATCGTATGGTAATTTTATGGTAATATAGCTCGGAATATAGCATATCTAGATGAGACAGGGCTAAATTTTTCTGGACGTCTATGGATTCCGAAGAATTTATGAGTTAAATGTTTTTATGCGGTTCCAATTGAGATCGTAGCAACTATACCTAAGAGCTTATCTCAAACAACACAGATTGGTTACATAATGTTTTATTAAACGTTAAAAAACTATACATGAAACTGAATAACTAAAACTTTAATATTAGCAAAACAAAGCAGCATCAACGTTTAGATCAGTAAAGCGGGGAAACTTATAAAAAATACAAAAAATAAATATTACAAAGATAAACTCTTTTTTGTTAAAGGTGATTATAAAAAAACTTGGGATGTTGTTAATGAACTCAAATTTTTAATGATTATTTTGTTAGTGTTGTTTTGGAGATAGCTAAGAAAATTAAAGAATGTAAAGCTTTACCTGCAAATTTCTTACACGAAAATCGCTCTGCTTCATCACTTTTTCTTGAACCTGTGAATGATAATGAAATAATTGAAATAATAGCTAACCTCAAAAATAATTGTTCGCCTGGTCCTGATGGGATAACTACTAATGTAATAAAAAATGTACATAGAAATATTGTCGCTTCATTAGTTCACATTATAAATTGAATATTCAGAAATAGTAATATACCTGCACAATGGAAAGAGTCGAATGTTACACCAGTCTTTAAAACGGAAGCTCATGATGAATTAAATAATTACCGTCCAATTTCTGTGATAGATAATTTCGATAAAGTTTTTGAACATACATTTAAAACTAGATTAATATATTTTTTTAATATGCATAATATAATCACTAAACGGCAATTCGGTTTCACAAATAAATCTAATACGGAGGGTGCTGTACTCGACCTTGTGCAGAAAATTGTTGAATCCATGGACATATCGGAGAGGTGTTTAGCCAACTTTCTCTGGCCATCTGGCCAAGGTTTTTGATACAGTGACACATACTATATTGCTAAACAAGTTGGAAAGTTATGGTATCCGTGGTCCTGTTCTAGATATGTTCCGAGATTATCTGTCACATAGAGTCACAAAGACTTAAAATGGGCAACTGTCTGAGTGAACCTAAAGAAATTCTTGTTAATGTACCACAGGGCATAATTTTAGCTGCCACCAAAAATACAAAAATCTACATATTTAGGATTGAGTTTCAGAAGATTGTGTGTAACTATAATCCAACTTTTTAAGGCAACAAATACTAATACAGCTAGCATCTGTAATGTTATGCTACAGTTGTATGAATTTTTAAAACTGAATTAAGACTCTTCCGCAACTAGTAATTTGTAAACAAATAAAAAAAAGTAAAAGTTATGAAACAGATAGTAACACAACAGTACAATTTGCAAAGTTGTAAAATGTTGCCTAAGATTCTTTTATAAAGCTGCTGTGTATAATTTTCAATTTGATGATAAATCTGAAGCTAATGCTATAAAAATATTTCCTATTACACTTCTATAATTCACGTTTTGGATAGCACATTTTTCCAAGGGTGAAACTGACCATCAATTTAGATTTTCTACAATGTGCATTGAAAGATAGTTTAGTTAGTTAGTTTTCCATTAAAGATGTAAGTAATGTTTTACTTTTCTATAATAACTTGTAATATATCTATAAGGTTAGCAACCTCTTTTCTGATATACGCGAGGCGTTTCTATCTATATTAAACACTTCCCAATTACGTTAAAACTATCCAAAATAACCTTTTTCAACTCCAAACTTCAAAAAAAAAAAAATCTGCTCAGTGGCATATTTAATATGATATCCATAAAAGTTTCAAAGTTTTAAAATTATGTCGTCGCATACAATCCAGTGGGTACAACTTCTATTCAAACTGTTAAATAGCATTCATAAAGAGTTAAAGACAACGTTATACTGACTGTAAAACAATTTAAAACAAAAGCATTTGATAGTTGTGCAGTTACCATTAACGTTTTTTTAATTTTAATATTTCGAATAGCGTAATGTAAGTTAGACGACGGACATTAACGAAAAAATTATGTACTTGTACAAATTCTAAAATTTAATGTATGAGCTATGTTGCCACATACCTTTGGGACTGATCCCTCTTACTAAATCAAACAAAAAACAAGGGTATAATTTTTCCGAAAATGATAACAGTTTAATCGATTACTCAAGAACCACTGAAGTTATGTACCCCAAAAATTGGAATATTGCTGTCCTCTTTAAGTAGCTAGTTAAAATTTGAATATATGTAATATAACCATTGGCATCGGAAATGAGCTGTTTGAGGTGTCCCAACTGCAGAAAACTTCTCGATTTAAAGAGATTCTTCTTTACAGATTTAGATTCCATTTCCAATATACATTTTTATGCCTATATATTTTTTTTTTCATAAAAAGAGAAAGAGTCCAAAATATGTAGAAACCTTAGTGACTTTATCATTAGGAAAACCTAATAAGCTATAAATACATGGATCCGATATAGACTGATTCCGGAAAGTTAGAGAATAAATCAGTAATCCACAACTAATAATCTGTCAGTGGGGTGTATAATGACAGACCGATAACCAATTTTTACTACATTTCTTTTGTAAAGTAGTATTTCTAAAACAAAACTTGCTGCAGTGTAACTAATAATTGTAGCAACTAGCTTCCTTTTCTCTACTCCACTTACACTCACAAAATTAATCATGAGGATGAAGAATGTAATGTTAGTGTTAATTATAGACGTCTATTCGTACTATTGTGTAATAATTATTAATATCTGTCTGTATTTAGTGACAGTCTTAACACCGTTCCCTGATCACTTATTTTGAAATCAGGTCACAATGGACAACGACGCTCATTTTATTCTTTATATTTCCAGGCCATGCAGATAAATTTAGAACCGGAGGAACATAAAGTGAAAAACATTAAACTGGAATTGCAAACTATGTTTCATAAAATTTGAATATATTTTTAAAATAGTTGACAGTGCAATGTTTTCAGTAGAGTATTTATTAATTTTTGTTGTATCCACTTTAAAACATAATTTAGATAAAATTCAGTTTATGTAATTTTTTCTGGATCGTCTAATTCTACGTATATATCTTGCGATACCAGTTTCAATTTCCAGGGAATGTTATTATTTATTATTATTTATGTTATTTACAGATGTATGGGATTAATGGTATATATTTGGTTACAAAACTCTGTATAATTAATTAGTTATGCATCGACTTAAAAAAACTTTAGGAAAAAAAGAATAAATATGCCTCATCTATCTGTTTTCATTAAACAAGAATAGTTTTCTTAAAATATACTAGAATAGATCTGTTTAATTTATGCAGTTAGTGCTGGATATACGTCTTATAAAATATAGGTAAATTTCAAAGTGAAATTTTTGTCGGTCTGAACTTTGTACCCACAAGTTAGGAAAGGGTTAATTTATCAGACATTTTGATTTATCCCGCGTTTGTTATAGATAAATATTTATGTAGACCATAGTGAAATAATAATAGTTAGAAAGTAATACATATTATAATGTTTCCAATGCTTCATTAGGTATACTTTCGTGGAAATACAGCTCCATCTGTAACTAACACAACTAGTGAAAATCGGCAACTTTGAGCACTTACAAAATTTAATCCGCAAGAAGAGACATTAATGTCCGAACATGATATACATAATAGAGATATATTTGAACCTGTCTCGTATAATGTTGCTACGATCTGAACTGACCGATATCGCGAAATGAGCAGTAATTATAGCAATAAATGTAATTTCAGAAACAAGATAAAAAAATATACTCGGTAGACCCAGTGTAGTACGCCATACTTCTATTTCGACTACATTAAGAATTTCAAAAATATGAAAATTGGTTTTGTAGAAAATTTTTCTCGCCTTATATCTTCGGAGCAAAGCGGCTTTTTAAAAATCATCAACGGACAAAATATTCTTATAATAGTCCAGGGAATAACGCCTTGAATTTTTTGCGTATGTTGAATAAACATCCTGTTCCGTAACTCTGAGTCAAGTTTTGGTAACAGTGTCGGCATTTACATATTACCCTTATACTGCCATTTGTTTGTTGCACTATTTTGATGGAAGGAATCTACCCTTGTTCTGTGTCCCATTAATTTCGGACACCCTGTATATAATTACTATTTCTCATATAAGTATTCATTTTATATTTATGAATACACTTACATATATTAATAATTTCATGAAAAACTCCAATGATTTATCAGTTCTTTTATTACATCGTTTCTTATATTTTTTTCTATAAATTATGTATTTTTAGGAACCCAAATATGCCCAGAAAAAATGAATATATTACTTCAAATCCAGCTTTTTGGACTCAGTTTGATGTAGAGTGGCCAGAATATGACCTACAGGACCAAAGATATCTCCAGCTGGGTAAGAAAACATTGCCAAAGATTAATTTCCATTTTGAATGCAAATTATAAATAATCATTGAATTCTGTAGATATTCCTCCCCAACCATCAGCCATGTATCGTGACAGACAAATGGCATATTGGAATGAAATGTTCCCCAATCTAGCGGAAAACTTTTCTAACATCTCTCTATCACTTTTTCCTGTTAAGAAGCCTGTTCCAGAAAACCGTCCACGAAAGATACCACCACGTAAGAATCCTCTACCATGGATTTATGTTCCGAACAAATCAACGTCTATTGACAAGACCAAGGATGTTATAAGATTCAACGACCGTCCCAATCAGTCATTTGGTATTTTAAGAGAAACTGGCAACGAAAGACCTGATAATATTTCGGGAAATATATATGGCACCTTAGTAACTTCTCCCCCTGCAGAAGTTAAACAGGGCACCACCGTCAACTTGGTCATAGTCATTGGAGTACTCTTTCTGATAGCCAACGTAATAGTTCTCATCATTTTATATTTTAAATGTTTTAGAAATGAAAAGAATAATTTATCTACAGAGGAGAAAGAAGAACCAACAGAAAATGGCAAAGACGATAAAGAAAGCCAGGCTTTCCTTGTGAACGGTTGTAATATCGTTAGAATGATGAGCAAATCATCGAAAAGTGATGACTATGAAGCAATTAAAGCTACTAACAGTATGTCGAACTACCACTTAACAAGACAAATGTCTAATAGTACTATTGATGCACACACTAAAGTAAGAGATTGGATAACACAGGAAATTGTACATAAATATAGTCCGAGATTTTTCAGAAAGCCTCGACATAATCAAAATAAATCGAAAATTCCACTTTCAACTGATATAGCTCCAGCCTCAGAAGTAGGGAATGATTCAACTTTGGGTCGTAGTCCTACCAGACCTGTAAGTCCAACTGAAGATAACGTTTTTCAACAACCTGTTACAAAAACATCCACTATTACAAGGCCAAAAATTGGCAAACCTGCAAAGGTTTCAGTAGCTATTGATGCAACACCTTCAGGTAGAGGGGATAGCGTTTTAATGCAACAACCTATAGAGCTCACTAAATCTTTAGATTACCCTCATTTGCATCCACCAGCTGAAAAACCTTTAAGACGCTCTGTTACTCTAGAGGATTTTTCCCCAAGAATGGTTGACAAACAAAAAGATGTAAGAAAAAGTAATACCAGTATTAATATGAAATATCCTGAGACTGAACCAACGGTGATAAAAATAGAACACGGCTATTCAAAGTCCGAACCTGTTGAAGAATTGCATTATACGCATATTCGGAAATTGAGAACTTTTGATCCAAATGGTGACGTTAATGTAACATCCAGAGAAGATAACGATAACTATTCAACACCTCTTACACCAGAGGAATCTTTAATGACTATTAAACGTCGAAATTTTCCTAAGGTCTTGCCTGATCACCCTGGACGAGAAGTTTTGATGCACAAACGAAGGTCGATGCCAGCCCATAGCCAGTTTTTGCCCATACCAGAATCTTTATCGTTTTCCCAACCTAATTCACCCGTCAATAAAAGTTTTACGAAATTACCCCCTACTCCTCCTCCTCGAACAACAACATTGTCAAAGCAATCCAGTGCTCCGCTTGCCGTATGTGCTTCGGAACCAATGCTTGTTGAACCATCTCCTTCTCCAGAACCAGAAATTGTGTGCAATAATTTGTACGTTGGGCCACTAATTCCTAAAATTAAGTCTTACAGTAGAAGTGAAGGCTTAAATTCTCAACCAATTTATGATTGTCTAAAAAGTATTTCGAAAAGCGATAATGAAATAAAATCTACTAAACCAAAGACAATAGTAACAGCTAATCCTAACATGCCTATTAAACGAGCGGAACCAAAAATAGTTGTCAGACCTACTCCGGCGAAGAGACTTATTGATGAGAAACACAATAAAAACATCCCTAGAGTTGTCGTACCAGACAATCAGCCACAAGTATGGCAAAATTTGAAACCTGATGACTATGCCTTTCTAACCGAAAAAGTAGAAAGCAGAGGTACTATTGACTCAGATGCTTCAGACCCTTCAGTACTAAAGAGGGGAAATAAGAAATCTCATATTCCTACTCCTGTAAAACCACCTGGTTCAAATAAGGAATCAACAAGTTCTGAATCTACTACCCCCTCAGAAGAGTCGGACACTGGCACTGTAGTTAAAAAGGTATAGATTTGATATTTTTTATACTTCAGCGTTTTTAATAAATACCTAACGAACATAAAACAGCGTTTTTCAAACTAAAATTCGACAAAAAAGTAAAGAATAGTAAAGAAGCTAAATGTTATTTCAAAAGAAAAATTTGAAAATAAGAAAAAATTAATTTTTGTCCAGTCTTTGCTCCTTTGTCCCTAAGCATTTGGGAGATTATTTAAAATCTAAAATATTTACTTGTTAATTATGTTTAAATAATTGTCAATACTAGGTAAACTAAGTTTTTGTACTTTTGCATAATGGTAATAATTTGATTTAAAGAGCTAGAAATTTTGTAGTTTGGTAATTTCAGAAACGACTAAGAATTGTATAATATATAGGTATTAGGTATCATTCTCCTTTTAATGTTATTACCTTTCTATAATTAAGTTTTTGCAGTTTACTTATGTACATAATATTATAACTCTATTCATAAAAACGTTTCACAAGGTATGTGGTGAGAAATACATACGACTAATGGTAACAAACTGCCAAATGGTGTTTATATGATTGTGTATATAAATAGGCTTCGTATTAATAATGTTTTATTATAATAATACATTAACATAGAGAAAAACATTTGTGTGTAATACAAAATCTCGAAGAAATTCTAAACACACGTGATATGCTGTTCCATTAAAACAATATGGGGATGTCAATGTTATGTGGATGTTATATTTTAAAATCAATATAAACTCACTTAACAACTCGCTCTCACTTAAGCCATAGTAAACCTGAGATTCATGAGAGGTTTTCCAGGTTGTCAAAAAAGATGCGTATTATTTTTTTTTTTACAATGAAAGTTAATGTGAACTATGGTATAATCGTAGATATATAAAAATAAATAAATGTTGCATTTCGAAAATGCAAGTCAAACTTATAATTTCTTTTATAGAAAATCGTATGTTTTTCTTATTTGTACAAAGAGTTTTTTAACAGTAGAGTGATATAAAGTTAGGTAGGTGTATCTCTAATAATAATAGTCCAGTCGGATTAGATTAAAAAAGTACTATTTCAAAGAAAAAAAAAACGTTAAAATGATATTTTACTATTGGAAGATCTTTGGAAGGATATCATAATACTAGGTTTAAATAATAAAATAATATACCAACACCTTGGCTTATGTTGTAGGTATTTTTAATACCTATAAACCTGTATGTCAAGGGTCGGCAACTGGCGGACCGCGGAAGGTAAAATACTGGACCGCCAAAAATTTTTTGAAAGTATAAATTACTCAAATAAGTTATTTAAAAAATGTTTTTTACGTTTAAGTGCCAACCTTATAATTTTTTCTAGTATTTTACAATTGTGTGAGTGTTTTGAGTTCTTAATGGTTAGTAAGCAGATTAAATTTGAGTTCAAATGAAAATTTGTAAGAAATATGAATTTTTTTTCTGGACCTCGTTAAAAATTTTTAAAAGTATCCGGACCCCACCTAAAATTACTTGCCGACCCCTGCTGTATGTTTTCTTTGTCAACAGTTGCAAGAAAGAAAACGGTTTTTCGTATATATTATTTCATTATTTATACAATGTTTTTCCACTAGCATACCCTTCCAAAGTACTTCCAATAATAAAATACGTTCTTAACAATATTTATTTTTAAACAGATTAATTCGACTGGACTACAAGGGAAATATGGGCAAAAGGGTCTGCCATAAGCTCAATGTATTAGCGGATACTCTTTTGGCCTTTATTATAATAGATAGATTAAACCGGATATGATTGTAATCCAGACATATAAAAATGTGTTCTATTTAAAGAAAATATTCTGAAATGTAACATTTTATAATTTTTCTAAATACTCTTCTGAAATTATAAGTAAATTTGTATACGAAAGTATAAAAGAAAAGAGGCAGAAAATTATGTACATAAACCTCTACAATAAATTTTGCTAGAAACTCCTTTTGTTAATTTACACTCAAGGCAAAATATTTTTATTTAATTAGTACGTCATCAAACTTATAAGTTAAGAGATCTTATTACAAAGAGTTTATTTACTTCACTCTTTCCGTTACAATTGGTTTTAAATGTTTCGTCATCTCTTATTAAATAAAGTAAATGAAACATTGTATGGAATATTACTTCCACTATTTCATTTTATTTTTATATTATTTTCAGTTACCAGTAAAATGTTGAATCTCAACAAAAATAAAAACGTAAGAGTTAAGATTTCTTCCACATTATTTCATTTTAACCTACTGCATATTTTATATATAAGAATTTTTATCTACAAGAGAAAGATAAAAAAATATTACATTTAGTTCATCCATAAACAATTTTTCTCTTAAAAAAAGATAGTAAATTTGCTTACCCCCATAAACCTAAAATCAGCTTTTCTTATTACTCTTTCTGTTGTAGTTTTCTTATTGTACATATATAGTATAATGTTTAGTATAATACATGAGCAAATTATCTTAGCAAGTGATATAAGTTAGATATATAATTACCTTAGTTACATAACTGCGTACAGACCAAGACAAAAAAGTTTGGGTTTCTGACTGTGGCAGAACTGAACAAAATTAAAAGAACCTATTCGGATAAAAGAAATAAGCGCAGTGGCGTGTGTAGTGCGCAGTGGAGTGCTCATTGTGGGTGGAGCTATCTCAGACGTTAACTTATTTGTTTCGGTCTGTAATAGATATACAGATCTCATAAAATCGCAAATAACACATATATAATTTGTTTATATTTTATTTTATTATATAGATATTTGTATCAATTATATTAAGATTGATTTACTAGTTAATAATAAATACTAAATGGATTTATGATTTAGATGCAAATTTAATTTAGGTGGCTTGATATGTATGTTTAGTTACTTTTTTACTCTTTATTAAGTTATTAAGTTAATTTAAACAAATCCTGTCAAATAAAGTCAAACACCACTCTTCGAATGCAGAAATCTAGCTATGCAAAAGATATTCAACCTCTCAAACAAAATTGTTAACTGCTGGTATAGTCTTTCCGAAGTCAGTTGAACATGTATAAAAACGCCTAGCAATATAATTTAATGAGTTTCATAGGCGTCCCTAATAAGTTTTCTACTAAAGGTAAAAAATTATAATAATTTGTATATAATGTGTAGAATATTTCTATTATACGAGGTAAGTCCAGAAAGTAAGTTCCGTTTGGTAATAAAATTAAATTGTGTACAGATACAGAAAAATTATTTATTGCACAAAATTCTACAACTCTTAAACTACTTTTCCACATAACTGCCGAAATTTTGCAGGCATTTGTCATAGCGTGGCACAAGTTTTTGTATACTTTCTTCATAGAAGTTTGCCGCCTGTGTCTTCAACNGTGGTAAATTTCGTTTTGTTCCGTTTCAAAAGGTCTCCAAAATGCCATGTTGTAATAATATTAGTAAACAAAATATCCCTCTTATTTCTCCCTATTTCAATTGCAATATGAATAACCAATAGAAGCTTCCTATAATAAATTAAAATTACCTGAATAACACCAAATTCCGCGTTGCTGCACTGCACTGCCAGGACATTTGTTGACAACTGAATTTATGACCAGGTTGCTCAGTGCGGTTGTGTTTGTGCGCCTTTGCCCGCGCGCTCATTCTTCAACTGGGCGACCAACCTGTATGTGGGTGTGGCTAAATAAATATGAGAACAAGTTTTTCAAATATTTCAATGCCGACTTGCTGCGTCAGCGACCGAACCTGATATATACTGCCAACCTCTTGGTTCTTCAATTGAGATAGGAAAGACTATACTGCGGGATACTTCTACTCTATGGGCTACATGCTCCAACTATTACTGGAATACACCAGCTAGTAGTACTCATTAAACAGTTAGTAAGAAATAATTAAATGATTGAAATGTTTAAATTAAAGATGGGCAATGGAAAATTTTCCGTCCCAGAAAATTTCCGTTTTGGAAAAAGAAATAATTGAGGCTTCGGAAATTTTTCCTGGAAAGTCTCCGGAAAATTTCCAGGAATATTTTCAACAATTTTTAAACTTGGCGCCAATTTTATTTCTAACTTCTGTGAATATTACCTCAAAAAATCGTTGGTTAATTTCGGAATTTCGGTTAATTCGGAATACTGGAAGACCGTATCCAAATAGTCAGAAAACACTTACATTTACTTATTTTAATATTTGTTAAGTCTACAATCTTCATAATAGAGAGCAATACAAGACTCATACATTGCCCCCTTAACTTTTGAAGTTTAACATAAATTTTGCTAGTTAAACCAAAGTAAAATTGCATTTTAAAACTGGTATAATTATTTAATGTATTTATTATTTGTTTGTTAAAAAATAAAGATAAATAGAGTTTTGTAGGTATGCTGTACAGTGCGTAACCCGCAGTATATAAGTTTTTGCTAACACATTAATAATAATTTATATTTTTCCAATATTTATACCAATATAAACGAAAATTTTTAAGTATTTGGGCTTTTTGGAAAGTTGATGGTATGTAAACCACAATATCAAATCCAAAAAATAAAATTTGAAAATTTCGGAAAACTTCCGGAAATTTCAATGGAAACTTTCCGGGAATTTTCGTAGTTTGGAAATTTTCCCATCACTAGTTTAAATAATGATTAGAAATACACATACCTGATATGTTTACATTTTCAAATAATGCAATCATTCAGGGAAACATTCCATATTCTTGCTTTCATCTTAGCCAAAAGTTTGATCACGTAAAAAACAGAGATATATTTGTTTCCACATTTTTCATGGGATTGTTTCATCAGGCAGCTTTCCTTTTTGTTACAAATATTAACATAAAAAATTATGTATTCATTTTGTTTTAGGTAATAGTTTTTTATTAGCTGTTTAATCAGTAGGGGAAACGTGTACAAAACGATCCCTCAAAGGGAAAACTACCACAAAATTTAGGTTTCTTGCATTTACATCAAAAACCATTTATTAGCTTCTATTTCATGAGACAATCATTTGTTTATCTGTAAATGATAAAGTTCTAAAAATAAATATTTCCGACCCTACCAAAGGATCATTCTGTATAACGGAATGTACAAAATGATCCCATGAGGGTGGACAAAATGGTCCCCAAAAAGCTCTTTGGCCCTGATCTCTAAATGAATAGAACAAACATGTTCAAATGCAAATTTATTTAAGGCCTTAACAAAAACAAAATATATAAATATTTTTAACGAAAAAAAAAAAACATTGAAAATAAGTATTCATAATGGATAATAGATTTTCAGAAATCTGTTAATTTTCTGCGCACTTGAACAAAACGTTCTTCTAGGCAAAATTCACAAATGTAATCATCGTCATCGTCGCTATCAATTCCTGCACACTCTTCATGTCCCTATTTGGTGCACACTTTACAACGGATTAAAAGGCATTCCGTTCTCAACATCTTGAACAGCCGAAGTCATAACATCGGTGTCCCAGCTTTGTCTGTTGGTTTTGCGCACATAATTCCGTGGCATTATACTAGAATATTCTGAAAGAAACAAAACATTAGAGCAAACCAATTCCGTAATAAAAAACTTGTGAGCAGAATGATCCCGGGATCATTTTATACAAAGACGAGGGGATCATTTTGCTCCAGGCGGTGTTCCGAAACTTGAAACGTCTTACCGAACCTAAACAAGCGTGGAATTTCTGAACTAATATACCTAAATTAGCATTGATATTTATGTAGTTACCGTTGCCAAAACAATAAAGAAAAAACCATTCGCCAATGGAAAAACACATTACTATATTGAAGCTTACCTTAGATCACAGGATACAAACTTTTAATATCTCTCGTCACCCACTAAAACTGACGCTGCAGATAGAACAACTACTAAAGACGTGTCGATAAGTAAGTTTACGTTATTAGTGGTGATTTAAAACTAGTGGCGCCAATAAACACATCAGGGATCATTTTACCTCGAGGGATAATTTTATGCATCTAGCAATATTGTGTGTGAGGTTGGATGTCTACTGCATACCTAGATTTCTGGTATAGAAGAATGTTGTTTGTCTTCATTTGACAGGATTTATTTGAATTAGCATACTACCTTAATAAAGAGTAAAAGCATGAGAAAG